GATCAAACGCAGTGTGGAGCCTTCACGTAAGCCAGCATCCAACAACCTACGACGATTTGCCAAATATTGTTTTCTTTCTTCTTCCAATCGCTGTTCAGCTTTTTCCTTCAAACAAAGAATTTCGAGTGAATTTGCAAAAGCTGCTCGGCGGAAATAAGCTGTGGCTGTATCGTAGCCCTCGCATTAACGGAGATTCTTACCCACTCCTTTCTCAACTTTTTGTCTGCTTCTTTTTTCTTCCGATATCGCACCACCTCTTGCGCTCTTCGCTCGTTTTCAACTTGCAGGACGCGTTCTCCCGGGGACGGCAGGCTTTCCCGCCAGCCGGCCACAACTACTGGTGTACTTGGGCCAGCTTTCAGTACGTCGCGACCAAATTCATCGTGTAGTGCTCGGACCTATAAATTGGTTCTGGTTATTGACTTGGCTATACTGAACATTTTACAAATGAAAGGTTAATAAATAGTGGCGCGCATTAGGGTAGCCGGTACGACCATGCGTTTTGCGCAGTTTCGCCCAGAGAAATTCTGCCCGCCAAAAACACAATTATTTTACATTTTCGTGTGTGAAAAAACAGTCCGTATACTGTCTGGCTCCTAAGCTGAGGAATTTTCCACTAAAAATTTCACGTACTGCTAAATGAAAGCTGCATTTGAAACCTTGGACGGGGAATATTCTCCAAATCTCAATCTTCCAGTTTATTGTCTTCCGAGCTACTGATTTTCGCACCAAAACTCCCTCGCGGTCGTACTTAAGACCACGGAATACATCAGAGCTAAATTTGAGTTTGTGAGTTACCTAAACAGGTAGAAACAGCTAGAAAACATCCCCACGAAATTTCGGCCTCAAAACTCTCTTGGTTCTCGAGATATTAATTTTCACAGGATCGCACGAGAGATCCAGGCATACGTAAAAGCTGAATCTGATTCTAAGAGATCGCATTTCTCCCAAAATCTCAGTTTCCTGTTTTTTATGGCTTCCAAGGTAATAATTTTTCTCGCTGAAACTTTCATG